ATAGATAGATAGATAGATAGATAGATAGATAGATAGATAGATAGATAGAATTTCCTTTGAGCATCACAGAGCAAAGAACTCAGCTGGATTGATGTGGAGCACAGAACATTGAATCACAATCAGTACCTACACTTAGCAACTCCCTGTGAGGTTAACTAGTTCTTTAAACTAAATATAAAGTTGCTGTGTATCATCGTTGCTCTTCCCTTGACAATCCTTCTGTCTGACCACCTCTCATTTCAAGCAGCGAGTCACATTGAGACGGATACACTCAAACAGGCTGCGTGCTCATATAGCAACTAATTATGTTTGGTAGACCATCATGTTTTGACACTTTTTACAGTTTCACATGTTGACACGTTTTGGCTCTGTTACTACCTCGATTTGCAGCACAAAGGCCCATCTGGAGTGGTTTGGCTTTAGCTCCTCAGTGCCTCGGTTCAGTCGTTGTTAAAGTTTTATTTTTTGCAAACACAGCTAAATCCTTCGCCATTCTGATGATGGACGAGCTGCAGCCCTGAACCCCTCATTTCCCGCCTCTTTAGCAGGAATTAGCATTCACCTTATTAGTCTCTGCTGCTGATATTTTTATTCAACATGTGATCTTCTTACTGGACAGATACAATGACTAAAATGGTTTCACATGTAACTCTAATGTGCATTACAATTCATTCATGGCAGAAATCCCCTGATGAGGGAGTCTGGCTGAGGGATTTCCAAAATGGCAAACTTTTCATGAAAACTAATCTAAAATATTTAATTCCATTTGGATTCAAATGTAATGTTTAAGACCTTAAATTAGGGCGGGGCGATGTATCGAATATACTCTATGTGTCGCAAATTTTTCATTTGACCATGGTTAAAATGGCTCTATCCCAACCATCGAGTATTATTACACTTGAAAATGCGTGTACTGTAATTTTCGCTGTACAAGTCGCAGTTTTTTTTGCATAAATTAGCATGCCTGCGACATACAGTGAAGCAACATATTGCTTTCTTTTCTTTCTTTATTATCCATATTTATAACCCAGTTTTTGGCTGAGATCTGACAATTTCATTCATTCTAAATTTGTATGCATCCTTTATGATCGTCTATTATCGTCTTTGTTGTCCACTGTTGTCATCACTCTTTGTTAAAATTGGAGATGCACCGATCCGATACAATATCTGTATCGGTCCTGATATCGGGAAAACACTTCTGGATCGCGTATCGGTGACAATGTGACCAATCCATGACTGGGCAGAGTCATTCACTCTATGCTTTGTGCTCTGAGTGACGTCACGCAGAACTCGCCGCACAGATTGTTTTCAAAATGGAGTTTTAAGTTAATTTAGCACTGGGTTTGTAAGCTCAATCATCCAGGTAGACAACAAAAAATGGCTAAATCATGTCGTCTGGACCTGTTTCAGAAACGGTCCAGACGACATGATTTAGCCATTTTTGTTAATTCAGTACTGTTTTTCTGCATCAGATCGACATCGGATCCGTATCGTCAGATCAGAAAACCAGATATCGGTATCAGAAGTGGAAAAAGTGGATCGGTGCATCCCTAGTTAAAATCAGGTCTCTTGTAAATGAGTCCCCGAGGCTCAATGGGATTAACCTGTCTAAATAAAGGTTAATTGAAAATTCTGACATGGAAAGTATTGAACACTACCATTTTAAGCCACTAGAGGGCCCTCGACTAATATGGCAAGCCAAGTGTCTCATTAATAGGTAAAAGCGGTTATTAATGAGACACTTGGCTTGCCATACCAAGCCACCTTCGTCAAACGTCAAATCAGCTGCATTTTGCTGCTCCGCCCAGGCGAAATGCAGCTGATTTGACCAATAAAGTACAATTATTAAAGAAAAGGTCAACTGAGACACATCTTTACTATAATGTCAAGCAAACTAATAATTGTTTTTAGGTGGTTATCTTGTTAAATTTTGAAGAAATGCACAGCGAGTCGTCCCTCTGCGCGCCCCTGCTTGCGTGTATTGGCTTTTGAAATGCAGCTGATTTGACCATCAAAGCGAATTTATTAAGGAAATCAACAATAACAAATTCTCTTCAATCCTCCAACCCGCTTGTCATTAGCTACGTGCGTCTCAAGTTAGCAAGCTAATGTTGAAATGACCTAGCATAGGCTTTTGCCTTGTAAAACTTTGTTGTCCAAAATTAAATGTATTGTTTGTCTAAAATCTTTACTTCTCTGCAAAGAAAAAAAATATTAAGCTGCTGCGGTCAATAAAAATGAGGCCTTCACTATATAGAGTGCTACCATTTGGCAGCCAATCGATTCTTGGCACAACACCGGCCCACATTTCCAGGTCGTCAGCGGTGACGCATAATAGATGCGACGTATACGACGAAGGGACGCATTTATGATTTTTTCCCACTTTATTAGACATATTTGGACTGATGCGACTTATACGATGGTGCAACGTGTACGGCGGCAAATACGGTAGTTTTTTTATTCTCCCGTATGCGCCGCCAACTGCACGCGGCCCCTCACTGCTGCTTCACACACAATTACTAACGTCATGAAGGCAGCGCAGCTGAAGAGGATTATTATTTAATATCTGTAAATTGTTTATTTTTTAGACATTTATTTTGTACTTACAACTGTTTGTTAAGAAATAGGACTGTGTGGTAATTGGGACAAAGCTTTGATTCAGAAATATAATTTTGTTATTACTTTATGGAAAGGAAAAAATATCGAGATATACATCGTACATCGCGATTTAGCTGAAAAATAGACATATTAATTTTGGTCCATATCGCCAAGCCCTACCTTAAATTTAGCTAAATTGAGTCAATGACTTGAAATGAAAGTAATAGTTACAGTACCAATACTCAGCTGTTTGACGTATTAAAATAAACACAGTGTTTGTTAATAGACCAGAGCTCAAACCTTTGTGGGATTACGGGTGGAAATATTTCACCTCCACACGTTTTGTTTGCAGCTTGCAACGTGATGAGACGAAGAGCTGACACGAGGATCTACATCGGACTCTTTCCCCATACCAAGATGACTGATAAAGGAAAAGGGTTCTGATTGTAGTTTGTACCTGAGGTAATGTCAATACTGTGTCTGTCTTCCTCCAGTCTTCTGATCTTCTCCTCCAGCTCGCTCTGCACCGTGTCAAACAGCAGCAGCTTCTCACTCTAGCAGACACAACGCAGGAGACCCAGTCCATACAGAGACGCATACATTATTAAATCATCAAAACATCCTGAAAGTGTAGGCCCAGGGTTGTGTTTGCTCCTTGAATCTTGCCCAGACAGAGACAAAGATAAGACTCGTCCAGTTTTCTGTGTGAACATGTTGACCCCTCACCTCCCAGTGCTGGCAGGCAGCTTGGATCTCACACTCGTATTTATTTTTCACCGACTCCAAGCACAACTCCCTGTAGATCCCTGCAGAAACACCAACAACAACCAACAGACGTTTTGTGCTCAGGCTGCTCCAGATGTAGAGGTGCAGAGAGGAAAAGGGCGCCAGCTCACCGGCCACTTTGGTCCGGATCTGCATGTTCTCCTGCAGGTTGGCCAAAGGCTCCAGGTACTCCTGAGCGCAGCCGGCCATCACCTCCTGCAGCTTGATCTCCATCTGGCTCAGACGCTCTTTATACAACCTCAGAAAGGAGGAAACGCAAAACAAACGAAACCATCAAACTGAACTGGCACGCTCTCGTGTCGGCACCGAGGGTAAAACGGTTTGAAGGTGCAGATCGAAGATTTGGATCATTTCAGGCTTTGAATGATTCAACTGAACCAGTCTGTTTTTTCCCAGTTTGGAGCGATAACAACAACTCCTCTGATTTCCAACATCAATAACTGGGTGCACAAGTTTGATCGTGGATTTGTTCTAATCCAAACAGATTCAGAAGTCACCTCAGATTATCTTCTGGTTAGTGACCAGGACTGACTGCAGCTGGTTCAGTGTCTGCCGGCGTGAAAGCACCTTGTTTCACTGCACTCACTGGGTCGACACTCGTCTGTCCCCTTCAGGAGAAAGAAAGAAGATCCAGATGTTCAGGAGCCATCGATGCTCGATACTGCTATGAACTGGAAACTACTGGGACGCCAGCGTTGGTGTCCGCAGTGACGCCAGTCTTACGTCACCACGGACTGACAGGGTGGACTGAAACCTGCAGCTGTCCACATGGACGAGACAAATGTCTTCTGGAGGACAGTTTCATGGTCCGACTGAGCCGTTTGTCCACAGTGATGAGTCAAAGTGAGACTTTAGACATGAGACGTCCTGATGCTCAATCGTCCCCCGGAATAAACCCAGAACAGTTCAGTGAGGTCCTCTGGACAGATTATTTTTGTTGAAACAGTTCATCTTTCATCCAGAAGACTTCATCAGTCTGAGGCCATGTGATAAAACTGTCCAGATGACCTGGATGTGTTTACCGGGATGAATGAACGTGCATCAGGACATTTTGAACCACTTTGGCCAGGCTTGTCTCAGGCTAGTTCTGTGAATAGCAAGCAGCCATCAGGGCGCTAACGATCTATTGTCAGGTTCCTGGCTCCTGTTTTGTTCCACTTAGAGAAGGTGCTACGTATAGGACTGAGTTTTGTCACTTGGCCTCAGACTGATGAAGTCCTTTGGATGAAAGACGAAACGTTTCAACAAGAATCTGTCCAGAGGACCTGACTTTACTTTATTGGATTTAAACATAAAAACACCACACCAACTGTCAAGCATGGTGGTGGTGGCATCAAGCTGTGGGACAGTTTCACAAAGTGGATGGAAAATAAAGAAAACAACTCAACAAACTTGTGCATCCAGTTCCTGTTGTTGTTTTTATTTATTATTATTTCACTATGTCCACCCTAAAAAAGGAAAGCTCCAAAAAACTCTTTAAATTCAACATCAGTATGACATTTATGCTCACAACAAATGAGCAAAGTGATGTGTAAACAAAACTCAATGAAACTACACATCACAAATAATCTGACAGGTATCAAAGTTCATGCTCAATAATCCAGGTAGAAAATCCAACAAAGTTCAGTCAGGTCATCTGGATGGTTTCTTTTTTTGTTGAGACGTTTCGTCCTTCATCCAAAGCACTTCATCAGCCCGAGGAGCCACAACAAACTGAGTCCCACAAGCAGCACACTCCCATAGTGGGCCAACCAGTTTGCTGGTGCTAAGATGGTTTCTGGAGTCCGCCCTCTTCCCCGTCGACTCCTCTGAGGCAGCCACAGTCAAAGTGGTTCAAAACATTAAAGTTTGCTGCTTGAGGGACTCAGTTTGTTTGTGGCTCCTCGGATTGATTAAATCCTTTGGATGAAGGACGAAATGTCTCACCCAAAAAAGAAAAGAAACCGTCCCAATGACCTGACTGAACTTTGATGGATTTTTAAAATTTGGATTATTGAGCATGAACTTTGATGTTTCTAACCACTTTGGCCATGGCTCCCTCAGAGGGGTCGACAGGGGAGAGGGCGGGCCCCAGAAACATCTTATCACCAGTAAACTGGTTGGTCCACTATGGGAGTGTGCTGCTTGTGGGACTCAGTTTGTTGTGGCTCCTCGGGCTGATGAAGTCCTTTGGATGAAGGACGAAATGTCTCCGCAAACAAAAAAAGAAACCGTCCAGATGACCTAACTGAACTTTGATGGAATCTGAAAGGTACAACATTTTAAACTTAATCTTCAAACTGGGTTTAGCCGATCAATACTTGATCATTATTGACACAATCAATTTATTACAAGTAAAACTTGTATTTTTTGTTTTGAACTTGAGGAACAGACACAAATGTGTCTTGTTAAGGGGGGGGGGGGGGGGTGTCGGATGAGGTGCATTGTGGGCCTTTGCTCTTGTTGAGAGTTCATTTAGCTCCAGAATACTTTGCAGACGACTTTAGATTAAAATGATCTGTAACCTGTGGACTAGTGGGAGTCTGATCATCTGCTGTAATCTGTATATAATCTGTATAATCCGCCTGGCATTACCCTTAAACACAAGCAGAGAGTTTATTGAAGGTTTAACCATCTCTTGTTGACATCTGGCTGTGGTTGAGTGAACTTACTGCTCCTTCAGGTCAGTGAACTGTTTCTCCAGTGTGGTCATCTCATCCAGACACTCCATCCTCCTCCTCTCACAGTCTTCATCATCCATCTCTGCCCACAACAACAAACACTGTGCATCACCGACTGCCCCACACACCATCACCGTCACATGGTTTGACCCGTGCTATGCTTCATTAGTCTGGGTGTAAACTGGTGTTTAGGCCGTCTTACCCGAGCTGTCTCCATCTTCGGACACGGACGAGCTAACGGTGTCCTCCTCGTCTGTGCTGCTGCCGTCTTGCTCGGGAAAATCCACCTCCATTTCTTCGTGGTTGCTTTCTTTCTTCTCCCGCGAGTGGACCGGCATTGCGGCTTTCCGGGTAGCCGGCGTTAGCGGCGCGGCACGCCCGTTTTTCGTGCGTGTGAAGCTCCTTCAGAAAGAGGCTAACGCGGCTCGGACACACGGCTCACCGGTTAGCCGGCCCGCATCCACCAGCTGAACACACAAGTCCGAGGACAACGTCGACCAATCAGAGAAGCGTTTACTGAGGCCAACCAATCAGAGGCCGGCACCGCATGTTAGTTGGTTCCAGGAGGATTTCGGGACTTGTAGTTTTTACACTTTCCACAGTTAACTGACATTAGACACTTGACAGACAGACTGAAACAGAAATAACTAGTAGCGTATTACCATGTTTTTAATGTAATACTAATTTACTTCACTTCAACCTATTTAATTACAATTAAAATATTTAAGCCTCAAAAGCATTTTTTTTTTATAAAGTAAAACAAATTTATATTACATTTTAAATTCAAGGATTCAACGTTCGTTATTTGTCATTCGGTGGAACGATTGTGTACACAGGGTCCCAGTTACATCCCACAATAAAAAGTAAAAGAAAAATAGTAATAAGATCTAAGAAAAACATAAACTAAATATACACTAAGCACTAATAGCATAAAAACATTGTCAAACAGCAGCACGAACATGAGTCTGTGTGAGCAGATGAGTACGCATGAACACATCAACATTGAAACAGATCAGCAGCAACATGAAACAGATCAGCAGCAACATGAAA